CCTCGACGGCTCTCATTTGTGCTTTTCCTTAATCCGACACATGTATTCTCAAACATTGCCTCATCCGCGTGCACACGCACCACTTCATATGCACATATTCATGGTGAAAAGTGCAAGATGCACTTGCGTACACACACAGGGACACAAAAAGACCTCCTTATGCGGCTCCCTGGAATGTCTCTGTGAACGGCTTCATTGTGAGTTTCTGCCTCCTATGATTACCTCACCTCTTCAGCTTCTCTCAGATGCGCGCACACACACACACAGGAACACACACACACAGATGCAAAGATACACAAACAGGACACCACCCAGTTGTACACCAGAGCGGCGACATGACATGTAACAGAACTGACCTTTGTACATCCGTCTGTGAAGTCACACCTTAGGCTGATGTCATTGAAGCCCCACACAGCACAGCCCTGATGTGTGTTTTTGAGTTAAACAACCTTTCATCTCCAAATAGATCTCAGCAGTAGGTCAGTGTCCTGTGGTAGTTTCTGACACTTTTGACAAGATCTGTCTGCCTGATGGGAGACCAATACGCTGCAAAATCAATAAATACATACACTTTTATATAATTAAATATAAAAATATATTATAAAGTAATACAGGCTGCACAGTGGCTGAGTTGGTAGCGCCGTTGCCTTGCAGCAAGGGTATTGGATAATGTTTTTTTTTTTCAGCTACTATTCCAAAACACATTTAAAAAGTCTACACACCCCTGTTACAATGCTAGACTTTTTCTTACATAAAACCGAGAAAGTGTTTCTCATTGTAGACATATGTCCTACACAATTCAAGAGAAAGCAAAGCTTTCTGCACGTTCCTGGTTGCATAAGTGTGCACACCCTAAAATCAATACTACGCCGAACCACTTCTTCAGGAGTGAATTCTCTGCGTCGACCAGAAATTCCTGAAACTCGTTCAGTATAACTGTCAGACTCTCAGTTTCCGTGCAGCCGTTTCATGAATCATAGACAAAAGTAAACTTTTTCAACGTTAGTGTTGCTCAATATCGGGCCTTTGAAGTAGTGTGTTAGCAAACACCCCAACCGCTGTTCTCAAAGTCATGCAGAACAGAACAATAACCGCTGTTATTGGACGAGACCTCATGTATGTTTTTATTATACGATTGTTTTTTATTTTTATTTTTTTTTTCCCACAAGAAAATTTATGCTTTGGGCTGTAAACTGTGGTATACAGGGAAAAAACATGCATAGATCCTAATCACAAATCAGGATTGGTAAAAGGAAGAATTATAAAAGCAAAACATAAAAAGTTGTCTTATTAAAGTAAAATAGCAAGAGAGGAACAGGAGGATTTAAGTGATTCAACATTACTGCATCTCCTCTGCTCAGATTGGTCGGGCTTACTGCACTTTCAAGTTGCAGTTTTTCAAATTAAAAGCTAGTCATCGTTAGCGTTTGCTAATATTCTAGTAAAAATAGGAAAACTCTTACATTTCAGATAACGGCAGCTATGTTTTCCTCTGTGTAGGCCACTGATACTTTTATTACTCTGCTAAACTGGCTGCGTTTTTCACTGACAGCTGAAACGGTTCTCCATGCGGATGTTGATTCAAAACGTGCTTTTGCTCTTCAGATTTTTGACCCCGTGATGCGACGCTGTGGTAATCACATTAAAAAAGCCCTGACAGATGGTGAAGGGAAGGATTAGAACAATCTTGCAGATCTGCACCGCCGCCCACAAACTTACACCTTCATTTCCTGCTAAATGACAGATCTGAATCTTTACATTGCTCTGCATTTCTTTGATTTTTAATGTTGAATTGCTAAAAAAAAAAGCATGTGCAGTGCTTTAAATGTATTATTTTTATCATCACCTCTCCTTGTTTTAGGACTCTTTATTTATTTCATCCGCTGAAACTAGAACATGACATCCGAATGCCGACATCAAAATGCTTCACATCGGCCGGACGCATGTCGACGCTACACAGTTGGTGTTCTTTAACGCACCACCAGGCTCTGCACAGTGCGGCAGCATGCAGTGGGAAACATACAAACTTTAGACCCACTTGGGAGGCAGCTGGCCCAAACAAAGTGGAGCTCTCCCCCTTCAGACACACACACACACGCAAAGACAAAACCCTAAAAAAAAAAAAAAGAAGCAAAACTCATCAGCCTGAGGTCCTTGTGGGTGAGATCACCACTGTGGTAAAAATACAGCTGTCCTGGGAGAGACATGTTTCTCACCAACACTTTCACACAATCAATAAAGTGCTCAAACAAACACTTAACCCTCGAGCACACTTGGATTTACAAGCACACTGTAACATTTTCCAACTGTCACCACGACCACATCCTGAGCAAATACATATTTCAAACTAATTACACAGCGAGAGTCAAGTCAGAGTCGGGATTATTTATCTTTAACAAAAAACCAAAACAAAACAAAACAAAAACCCCAAAGAGATAATCTGGGATAAGGTCACATAGCGTCATCCTCGCTTGGGAAGCGGTATGTCATTTTAAACAGTTGTAATGATGATTATTTATATGGGTATTTTATGAATGGAAACAGACTCAGTAAGACGTCACTGATTCCACTGGGTTTGATGTGTAACAAATACACATGGTTGGGTTCATCTGCCATCTCTTGGTTTCTGAAATGTATCCTCCTCATAAATAGTGAGCCTCAAATCAATAAATAAACAGATTCATGATATACAATAACGTAACCTAGTTGGAAAATGAACTAATCTACTGTATGTAAGCAGTAAATATAAATAAAGAAAAACTTATGACAGAAAGGGTTAACCACCCAAAGCTATAAGTCAAATAAAATTTCTCCTAATGATGTTGTTTAATCATTTGTCATTTTAATTTTCCTTTAAACCAACACATAAGCTGTGTGTCAGTGAGTAATGAGTGCATGTGAAGTTAATGATAAACCAATCAGTTATGAACCAATCAGAGGAAATATCAGTGTCATAAATCACAAGCTGAGCGGTGAGGACAAACAAAGAAGGGGTCAGGAAGAACAAAGTGTAAGCTGGAGCTGCAGCGACACTTTTTCTCCATTTTGCCATGTATTTTGCTGTATTAGTGTATCATCTTGCAAACTAAAGGCGGGGTTTGAATTTCAGAAGAAAATCAATCTATTATTTGCAAGAACAAAAACTGAAAACTGTCAGGATTTGTTTGGTATGGAGACTATAGTTTAGTGCAGACTTAATTTTTGAGAAGCACAAAAACATCAGCTGATGACCATAACTGCACCGTTTCAGTTTGCGTGGGCCTGACTAGTGACCACCCAGTATTTAAAAATAAAATTACTATTAAAACTGTATTTATTTATTCACATTTTAGCTTTCTAAAATTTTGCCTCTCAGATGCTTTTCTGCAGATACAGCAAGCAGAAAAATGCAGGAAGAGTAAAACAGAGCTAGAGAGCACCATATGTTCAATGTAGCTGGACCAGGCAGACATTTGAAAATGTCATCACTACATGCAGCAACAACTAGTTAGTGAAGGTTAAACACAAGTTAAGATTAAATGTCTATAGATTAACATACATTTTAGATAGAATCTATTCTGATTTTTTTGTAATAAAAACTCTTGGTATGATATTTTGGTATTAAGGCTCTTGAACTAAAAGAAAACAAAATACATTTTTTTTAGTCATCAAGCAATAAAGTCTTCAAAAATATTTTGTAAGTGGTTCCATTACCTATTCCTGGCATTCACATCCCTGCCGCATCCTGACACATAAACATTACTGCAGCACTTTTTCCACGTGACGTTACAAAGCAACCTTGTATGTTACAATCTCGTTATTTTTTTTCCTTTCTCCTCCAAAGTACTCGCACGCAAACCTACACATTTTATATGCACAGACACTGGCTGACAGCTCCACTGACCCCAATAATACAAGCACCCAAACAAGAGCCAACGCTATTGGCTGGGATTTTTTTTTTTTTTCTTGGGGACTATTTTCTGCCTTTGTTGTCGTGGAAACAGCAAAGAAGCGGCAGCAGAAATAAAAAAGGTGTGACTCTTTTTTTTTTTCTTCCAGAAGTAGAAAAAAAAAAAAGCAAGGATAAGCAGTGGAGATAATGAGGAGGATGTGTGAGTTGCTGACAGGACAACTTTATATATATTTATATATAAGATTGGAGCATTCCTCCCCACCCTCACGAAAAGCAGAGAATACTTTGGAAGCCTGGGGTTCTTTGAGGCAATCCTCAGCAATCATCAATGACTCATGAAAAAAAAGCACTAATCTCCCAGCAGAAGGAGCAAATTGAGAGGATGAAGAGAATAGGGATGAGGAAACCAGAGCAGAGATTTACCGAAGCAGTATGTTTCTGCCCATCTCATTTCAAATCCTCCTGGCAGAGGCAGATTACACTCTCCTTTCTGCACTGGCACATTTGGGACAAATTCATAAGCCTCGGGTAGTGAATGTGTGTGTGACGCTGTCCCTTAAAAGGCCACAGCCAACACAATTAGGGGGATATTAAGTCAGAAAGCTTATTAAAGCTAATTATGAGGAGCCTTCTGCGATTAGTGGATACTATGACAGCATACTAACTGCTTCTAGTCAGACCAGAGGATTGAAATAAGCTTTCAAATTCCTGCAGTGATGCTGGGTGAGGAGACAGCTCCAGCGAAGCTTAAACATCAAAACACATCAGACAGGCTTTGCGTTACAAGGTTGTGCTGCTTTACTTCTTCTTCTTCTTTCCTATCTCAAGGAAAACCTGCAAACTTTACACCAGTGAGGCAGCATTTTATATTATATATATATATGTGTGTGTAAAAATCAGGAACAACTGGCATAATGTGACATCTGCTGGCTAAACTGAGCAATGACAATGCTGCACCTGTTCAACAGGAGATGGCTTAGATGTGTGCACAAACATGAAGATTTCTCTGGACAATAAAAGCTTCTTTTCTTTCGCTCACCTCACCATCATCCCACTCATTCAGCATACAACACCCACAAACAGCAACAGCGCAGATGGTCTTGTTTACCGGTGAGCAGGGAGACTTTGTGGAAGGTACCCTCCAACTTTCCCATGAGGATGTGCACAAAGCCGTCTTTGGACAGGTGCCCTGCCTCTTTGGAGCTCTGGTCGTAAACCACCACTTCCTGCTTCCTGCCCAGCTCCACCTGCACGGAGAATAAATAACACACAAGAGCTTCATTACTCATTGCTGGAATGGAAAATATGATAATGATCCAACAAGGAAGTTGGAGCCTGCAAATATGACGGCAATTCTAACCTTTTTCTTTTAGTGCAACAAGGAACTTAGAAGCAGATTCACTGATCTGAACTGCTAAAATTTTAGGAATATTCCATGACAGTAAATGATGACAAAATATTATGTGAAGTCATTCCTTTACAAATTTCAATGAACTTTATTGTAAATATTTGAGACAGACTGACATCAAAGAAGCAGATGACTGCAAAATGGAAAGATGGCTTTGAAAATAAAAATCTGCCAAGTGGGTAGTGGGGCAAACTATGACTTTTGTTCATTTTCAGAGAGTGGCAAGACGAAAGTCATTGAAGAAAGAAAGCAAGAAGTCCTGTTTCCAGATGGTCACAACCAACACAGCAAGCATGTGAAAAATGTGTTCTTGGTCAGACGAGACCAAAACTGAACTCTTTTATGTTTGTGTGTAAAACTTGATGCACACCAGACATGGCCATTGGGAAACATGGTGGTAGTAGCATCATGCTGTGGGGATGCATTTCTTTAGCAGGGACAGAGAAGCTGGTTAGAGTTAAAAGGAAGTTAGGTGGAGCTAAACAGAGAGGAAAAACTTGAAGAAAAACTGTTAGAAGTTAAAAAAGACATGAGCCTAAGAGAGAGGCTCACTTTCCAGTCAGACAACAACCCTAAACCCACAGCCAGAGGTGCAAAAAAATGGCTTAGATCAAAGTATATTCATGTGTTAGAAAGGCCAAGTCATAGTCCAGACATAAACCCAACAGAGAATTGATATTAACAGATGCTTTTCCTCCAATCTGGATGAGTCCAAGGTGCTGGGCAGGAAAGAACAGACCAAATTTGTAATTCTTTGCTAGAAGCACACCAATAAGACCACCTACAGCTGTGACAGAAGGAAAATATGCTTTTACAAAATATTGATTCAGATGCACCGAACATGCAAGAAAACAACACTGTTCAGATTTTATGCGTCAAAGGATGTTTAACATAATTTATCCTTTTTGTTTTTTCACATCCATATTCTTCTTTGCATTGACCTAGCACATCCAATGCAGGGTGTATAAATACTTGCATGGTAATGCAAATGAGTCTTTGGTGTAACTGAACAAAAAAACCTCATAAAGCATGACTTGGTAACAGACAGTGGCTTGAGGGAGTTACGAAGATAAAAACAGGGTTATAAATAAAGCATTGCATCTAAGAAAGTCACATCTCTAAACTGCTGAGGCTATTTCTTGTTATGTTGGATCAAATCAGTAAATAATAGTTATTAAAAACAGCTGTGTGATGGAGAGTTTGGGAATGGAGTGCATCCGCTGCTGATGTCGTATTTTTAAAAGGACGAGAGGACGGGCGTGCGGTCTGAAATGTCTCTCTGTGTTCGTGAGGAAAAGATGGCAGGGAGGATGCTGATGAGCACGTGCATGTGACTGCACACAATCCAGCCCCGGCTCTGTTGTTGCTCCCCCCCACCCATGTTGTCAGGCAGGCTTTGGTCACATGACTGTGAGGCAGCGCCTACTGCAGCTATGAATCACTGCATCATCGAACCACCGCTGGACAGGAAGGAGGACGGAAGCTTAACGGAGGAAGGGATGGAGAGGGCACGGATGCAGGAGGAGCACAGGAGAGGTGATGGAGATGAGACACATGTGAGGCAAGAATGACAAAGTGGAACGGCGCAATAGGAAAACAAAAGGATTCGTGGCCATCATCTTTTAAGCACAACTGCACATTTTCCCAACCTGTCATGTGCTTGCTTGTGCTAAAAGGCGTTCTGGTGATGCGCTTCTCAGTGTGCATGAATACATGATGGGCAGTCACAGCAGAGACGTTTGGAAGACAGCCAGGTAGCTGATTCATACAAAATAATGTTGATCTGTACAGTTCAGTAAGAAAATATTCTCCATCCTCAACCAAAATCTAATCCATAAACACTAATGCTGACATGACAACATACAATACAGTCCAACTGAGATCTGAAATCTTTTACAAAAAGCGAAGTTGTCAGCCATAGTAAACATTTCATTTGAAAATTGTTTAAATTGGCACTAAAACAAAATGTAGACCAAAAGTTTAAATTTTGTTTATTATATTTCTCCAGAAAAAGACACTGTGGATCTTTACTAGATTGGAGATTAGAAATTGGCCACAACATGCACAGGAAAAAGAAACAAACAAAAAAAAAAAAAAAACACCATCGGTGATACCATTTAGAGAGGATATATATTACAACAGTCAAGTAAATTGACAGAGAAATAAATATAATCTTTCATATTTATCATGACCTGTGCTTCATTCCTTATCTACCTTTGTGCACACATTTAATCATTTTTCTACTAATAAGTTCATCTTTGCAGGACTGTTTTTCTTTATTTTATCCTCTATTCACTTTACTAAGCTCAGGTAAATTTGGCTAATAATCCTAATGCGATCAGATCTATTTTGGGCATCTGATCTCTATGCCTGAGGATTAGAGGTCTTTAACTGTACATACATGTGAAGTGCAATTGAAAACACACATATACACACATGCGTCTTCTCTTGCTATGAGATCTTGTTTACTAGTTTGACTTGTCTTCATTTTAAGGAAGTAAATATTTTAAGCGCAACTTAAAAAACAAAACAAAACAAACAAAAAAAAAAACCCTGAACAAACTTATGAAATATTTCCCCCAAAATTTGAAGATAAAACCAGAATTAGAGGAAATCTGTTCACTCCTTTCAGACACATCTTATAAGTGTGAGCTTTCACCAAAAATAGACAACATATCTGTTGGCGCATCCTATGTAGCTCCTATTTCAGTGTCTGTCTGACAGTACAGATGGCCGACTGTGATGCATGCTCTCTGTCTTCCTACAATGACATTGAAAAGCTACACATCCTGCTAAGTGTGGTATGGAAACCAGCGTCCTGAGAAAGGGGTAGAATGTTGACTGCACCAAAGTTACTGATCCCTCGTTCCTCTGCAGTGCAACAGCATCACTGCGAATCACAATGCTGGCCCAACCTGCACAGAACTGACGCATGCCCTCTGCAGAGACTGTAAACAAGGAATGCCTAAGCAAGACAGGGGAAACAACAACAAAGAAAGGGAAGCAATGGCAGGAAGGGGACCTGAAGGAATGCTGAATGCGTAGAGAAAGAAGTGCAGAAAGGACAAAAAGTTAAGTTAGCACACAGGATGCTAGGTTCCTGCAGCATCCAGGCTTCATGTAAAAGGAAATGGAGGCTGGCATAACAGCAGGCATAAATAAGGAGTGGTCACAGGGGAGAGGTTTTTCATCTGTTTTTTACAGAGGAAGAGGGTAAAAAAAAAGAAGGCAAATTAAAGAAGTGGGAACTGGCCCTGCTTTATGAATGAGCATGAGGGAAAAAAAACAAAAAACAAAAAAAAAAAACAGGGTCTGAGGCAAGCCTAAAGTCAAGGTTTGGCCTTACTGTCAAAGCTCCTCAGTAGGGACAGTCTGTACACGCAAACATCATAAAACATGGATGACAGGAAACAAAAAAAATCCAGAGTGGAAGAAATATAGCATCAGAGTAAGAGATTGTGCAAGAAAGGGAAACATGATTTCCCCCCCTGACTTCAGCAGTGCTACTGACCAGAGACAAGGTCAGAACAGGAGGATGTGTGTGCGTGTTTGTGTGTGTGTGTGAGAGAGAGTGAGTAAGAGAGAGAGAAAGAGAGAGAATGAGAGGGAGGGAAGAGAAGGAGCTGGTGTGGGACACAATATCAGCACAAACAGTCTAAAAATGGCCCAACATTCCTGATGCACTGGAAAATAAGATGTCTGCAGCAAGATCGCTCTTCATGCCGCTTAATGGGTCAAATATCAAGACAAAGCCTTTGATAAATCCATTTATCCAGTCTTTACACTTCCATGTTTCTGCACATTGACTTTACAATGCAATTGAAGCTTATGGCACAAAAAGTAGTTACAAAATTGGGCTGGGAAATATAATCTGAACCTAATCCTTATGCTTGTTGAGGGGGTCACGGGATGTGATTGTAGATCTTAAGAAGGAAAGTGACTGTGTTCCCCAGAGTGGGGACACATATCCCTCTGACACCTCTTTTGGCATGAAAGGTGCCAGATAATGCTTTACTGGCTGTCCATTCCTTGAATAACAAGCAAGAACTGTATCTGTTTTCTCAGCGTAATGTCAAGCTAATTCCCAGGGAGGACTGAACTCCTCCGGGGCTGCACCTCGTCACCTCAGAGTCAGATGGTCAAGGGTGAGATGGTCAAGGCAAAGTTGTAAGGAGTATGGTGTCTAGTTTGAGATCTCAGAGTATTATTTTTGCAGGTCTTATGGTCATATTTGCAACTTCAGGCCAATAGGAGTGTGTGAAATAAAGAGATCTCAGAAGCCTTAAGAGCAAAGTCTTTTGGCTTTTAGGGTGCCTCCTGAACGAGTTCTTCTGGGAGTCTCTCCAGGCACATCGAACTGGTTGGAGACCCTGGGGCAGACCAAAGATTTGCTGGAGGGGTTACATTTATGTCTCTTTATTCATGGAGACATCGGGGGGTGAATCAGAATGAGCTGTAGAAAGTTGCAGAGGAATTTCGAGGATTCCTTTCTGTAACTTTTACCTAATTAGAAATAATGGATGGATAAATAGAAGAATCTGCTGTAACCAAAATTACAGACTTTACAGATTGTTTAGCAATTGCCTTGCCACCCACCCCAGCAATCACCTAAATCAGCACCGTTGTTTATGTAAATTATTTCTTCACTGGAAAATATCAGTACCAACCAACATTTGGGTTCATAAATTGCAATCTGATCTGAACCAAACACAAGTATATATCATTCTGACACAACATCTCATATAAACAGCCCAGTTAATCAGCAGGATGTGATTTCTCCTTGCATTGCACCTACAGGTTTACGACCCTGTCACACATCCTGCTATGTGCACCTCAAGC